GGTTTAGGAGTTAGTCGTGCCAATTTTCTGCTTCATTATGCTCCTAGCTAGGCTCGGACTAGAGGATGTGGTCCCGTAGACCTAGCTTCTGAGTCGAGCTAGCTAGGCTCGGACTAGAGGGCGTGCTCCCGTGGACCTAGCTTCTTTGTCGAACCGATTGATTGGCAGCTAGTCTGACCGCCGGGGCCGTTTTGGGGAGGAGGGAGTTTTAGCAGTTTGGGGCCGCGAACCGTCGGTGAAGTCAAATGGGCGGCAGACACGCACTTCGCACGATAGAACCACGAACTAAGGCGGACAGGGGCGTCCCATTTCCGAATATGCTGATAGCGATGAACAGAATATTGACTCTCGGCCTGTCATTGTGCGTTCGTCATTAGCGGAAATGTACCGATGTCGATGGTCTATTGTGTCACAGTCGGAGGTTGATCGAAGGCTGATACACGATGTTGAATCGATATCCTTATTTGATCGTGTATAGCTGGAGATTGCTGACAGCATTACCAATTTTCCTAGATGTGGCCGTATATCATGCTATGATGATTGATGAAGTAAAATGCTAAGTTATTCGCATTGGGTACACTGAAAACCAAAATGAATCTCCTGATGCCCTGATCATTGAAGTATATACCCCAATTATTCCCTTTTGATCTCTTCATTATACCTATGGGGTATATTCATGGAATCGCAATTGGCTTCATATTCCCATGATATTCCCTCGTCCTCCATGAATTATTGATTCTCTTAATAAGCTCTTGATATCACCCTGTGAGAACCATATTATGCCATTGATACCCCAAATGATTCTGCATGATTCCGTGCGTATAAGATGCTGTTGATACCCCAGTCGCTGATAGTTATGCCTTTATGATTCTCTATCTATTCTTGCAATATACCCTTTCATTGCCCAGAGGGTATCTTGCCGGAATCACAGGGAGGCTCATATTCTCTTGAGATGCTTTCATCTTCTGTTATGCTTCCTTTGCCTGATTCTTTCAAAATACTCTTGATATCACCCGAGTAGAATCATATTATTCCTCAATGATTCTTCGTTGGAAGCATCAGGAACGCGCCAAAGGTCCGCCATTTTTCTCCGCCATTTCCGGTGATCAGTGAAGAGCGGTGTTGGGTGCTGTGTGGTTGCGAGTGATGCCATTTTTAGGCTGGAATTGAGCCTTATTGAGGGTGAGTACCATCCTTAGCAGGAACTCATATGACGATGAAATGCTTGGATTGACTTAGGCCCTTGATTTTTCATATGTAGTGTTCTTCTAAGGTTGCGTGTACTTGTGCTTCTGATGTCTAAATCATAAATGAGATCATTACTATACAGCATTATATTTGTTTAAATAGGTAGGTACTCAACAGTTGAACATCGTTGTTCTGATACATGTTAACTTCTTACATATCGAGTATAAGCGAACCTGTTCAACCAATCTTATACAAAATGCATTGGGGGGGGGGGGATTGCCTCATACTCTTGAGTATGGGTGAGCCAAACCCAGTAATCTGAGAGTAGACATAAAAGACAGGAAGACTAGGAAGACAGGAAGACTAGACATAAAAGAATGGAGTGCAACTAGGAGCCACTGGGGCCCTTACATTGCTGCACTTTCCCCAGCGATTAGTACCAATTCCCTTATAATGAAAAGCTATGCCCTTTTTAACGAAGAATGAATCCAAACTTGCTTTAAAGAACCTAAGTGAAGTGACTGAGACAATTTCTGTTTCTTTCAAGAAACAGTGGTGGCCAGCGCCCAGTGCCTTGAAGAGGCACTCCTTCTCTTCGGGGTCGCCCACTACGTCTTCAACCAGAAAGTGTCCCGTGCATCGCGCTCCACGATGTGGTTCATCGTCCACGACATCATGGGGCTGCCGGCAGAGTCAACAGCGACGGCGGACGCGCTGAAAAATCTGTCGGTGCTGACAGCATAGTGTGCCCGCGCAGTGAGGTAAGCCCAGGGGCGGAGTGGAGACGGAGTGATGGACGGAGATGATGGAGACGGACGTGATGGCCCGCCCCACAGGGAAAGGGGTCACAAGCGGCATGGGCGGGCCTGTTGACATCCTGTGGCAGCCCCTGGGCTACGTTGTCGGACTTTCTTGAGGTCAGGGAGGGGGAACTCGTAGGAGCCACACGCTCAACTTTCGTTGTGTAGCAAAGTTGGGAAAAACCACGCCATTTGAAGGGGCACCGGTTGTTTTGCGACTCCTTCGTAAGAGGGAACGGTCATCGTAGAAGAGCCAGCGGCGCTTCTCGTGTGTCATGTGTTTTTTACAGCCTGGATCTCAACATGTGATATGGTATTTGTTATATGAGGCGTGTGCGTGACATATGTTCAATATGGATAGTACAAATTGAATGTCTCTTGGCAACTAGGAAGCTGTGATTTTGACATGAATGCAGAGGCAGTTGTCTTTCCAATCAATACAGTACGTTTTTCTTATACACACAAGCGTATCGTGGTTGCTGTTGGTGTGGCTGAGCGTCGATGGCATGGGCGGATCCAGGAAATTCAGAGGAAGGGCGAAGGTGGTTACATAAATGGCGTCTCTTACCTTTGTGTGGGTAAAGAAATCAGTGCGCTAGGTATCTCATGGGGATCTCACGAGGAATAGCATGACCCCGCGAGCCCATCCCTTGATCCGCCACTGCGGAACGAAGCATCAATGGGGTATATAGAGAGCATCAAAGGAGCATCAATGTGGTGTATAGAGAGCATCAAATCAGCATCAATGGGGTATATAGAGAGCATCAATGGGGTATGTAGAGAGCATCAAAGGAGCATCAATGGGGTATATAGAGAGCATCAAAGGAGCATCAATGGGGTTTATAGCAAGCATCAAAGGAGCATCAATGGGGTATATAGATAGCATCAAAGGAGCATAGATTGGGTTTAGACGGAGCATCCGAACTATGCTAGGGGGCATCAAAGGGGCATAGAGGAGAATCAGGGGGAATACACTAGGCATTTCGTAAGAATAATGGAGGCATAACCAGATAATCATTTTGATTCCACTTAGCCATCCAACAGGCATATTAGGGTAATAATGTTGGGATATTGGGGTATCTAAGGCCAAAAAGGTGCTACTTGAAGTATATTACGGGAATAATTGGGGTTTCGTTTTAGACCATTCTCCTAATATCACCCCCCCCCCCGGAATCATTTTAGTTTTCAGTGTAGACATCCGTTAGCCTCACGTACTCACGAAATAAGGCTGTCTTCTCCATTGTCCATGAATTGAGATATCTCGAATATCAGTGCCTGCCTACCCTGCTATAGCACACATCATTCATCGTTACAGTTAGGCAGTCATGAGAGCTGAAATGAGCTTGTTATCCGTTAGTTGCCGGAAGTGCTTCCGTCCCTTTCAAGGACGTGCTCGGTTTGTCAGCGGCCAGCGCCCAGTCGCGGATATGACCCCTGTTGACCCATCGCGCGGGCTAGGTTCATGTTCATTACAGAGTTTTATATGGTACAACGATATGATTGAGGTGGTTTGCGGTAGCTACCCAATTATCTTCCTAGCGAATATCATTCATCACAGCATGGATGATGCTGATGGTTGTATATGTCGGCCGTCGGGTGTCATGTCTACCTATTGTGTGCTGTACTGCTATTATCACCACACACAGAATGAGGTTACTATGAGTAGAAAAAGCTGACAAGTGACAGAATGTTGTATGACGTGAGCGTGAATGTGGGCGAAAGTGGTTCGCACGCTTTCTGTGGCGAAGTTTGTGAGGTGAAAAGTGAATGGTGCTGAAGGCGCTATGACGGTAGGATTGTGCTTATAACGTAACGATGACGGCTGTGAATCTGAATTTATTTACGTCTCTTTGTGACAATGACGACCGACGACGTGATAGTGCTTTTAACGATGAACTTCGATATGGGTAACGAACCTGCGTAAAGTTATGAACTTCAGCTATTTTAATTGCTTGTTGATTATTTTAACTGAGTTGTAATGTGAAATTGTGTAATTACAATCATACAGCTGATTAACTTGAAATACGTTTACTTCTCTTTGGTCGGTCTATTGTCCCGTGCCGGTCCGACCGCTGCTGTACCGACCCGGCTGCGTGACCGTTCCGACCGTCGGGTGCCGCCGGGCCCGACGGCTGATCCGTCCCGGTCCGTCGGCCCCCAGCGGCCGGTCGTCGACAGTTACCGACAGGAGCGGGAGGGGGAGGGGAGGGGTCGGTGGGCCACGCCCATAGTCCATCGTCCGTGTCCGTCCGTCCGTCCGTCCGCAGCCGCAGGATCGGACACAATGGACGGCACTTCCGCGGCATCGAACGGTCTCTGCCCATCCATTAGACCAGCGAAACACTCCGCCGCATAGCTGCTAACTCAAGTGGATCAGGTCACCAAAGACTAGCGACTCGCTTCTGCTGCAGAGTCGCAAACGAGTCGGGTCATTTACGATCCCTCGGTCCCTTAGACTGTTGGCGGGTGCCTGTCGTGTAGAGCCGCGGTCTCAGGTCAGGTCACCAGCTCCTCGCCGCTTTGTCAGCACGTGGCTACGGTGCGGTATGATCGTATGTTTATTTGTTTATTTAGTTCAACAGTGAACTGGTATGAAGACCCAATAATAGACGGTGTCAACTGACCGGCCATAGCCGGTATGTCGCGGCCATAACCGGGACAGCCGATATTGGCTCAGTTTTTACCCCACACTGCTGTTCATTTTGGGTTCTCTCATATATGGCATGTCTGAGCTTTTTATGGCGAACACTTGTATGGCCACAGAGACGGTCAGCGCCCCGACTGTGGTTGACCTCGGCAAAAACTCGCTACTTTTTTAAGTTGAGCAGCAAGCGCTGACTTATTAGATGCAGAAGCCGATTATAATCGCTTTGCCAAGTTCGGGTGTATTTTTGCGTTTTTTTTTTTAGCCCGCAGTAGGGAGTCGTAGGGAGTCGTGCCGTTTGCTGAGACTGGCAACGGAATGGTGTGCCCGTAGGTATATTTATGTTTGTATTTGTTGTCCGTCGCCAGGGCCGGCATCCACGGGATCCAGCAGAACCAGCACATCAACTGGCTGTCGGTGGGCTTTTTCGTGTACTCGGCGCTGTTCTCGCTGTCGTACCTGTACTACCCGAACCCGCTGTTTCACCAGGTGAGATCGCTATCAACAGTCGTGTTCAAACAGCTCGTCTTGAGCTCGTCGGTCGTGTTCAATCAGCTCGTCATAAACAGTCGTGCTCAATCGTGATTGTGGGTAGGTGGCCGGTGGATTCATGGCATTATCTGGAACGGAACGGATAAATTGAGAGATTTTGCATCTCGCTATTTGCCGAGTTACTGTAATCATGTTATCTGTTACCGTAGAATGTCGAATACCTGATGAGCTGCGGGACAGTTCAAAAATCGTACTGATTCCATTCAAAGATTATTTTCCCGCTTCGATCACCGAATGTCCTTAATCCCTCCCACCGTTCTTCGCTAACCAGAGAACGATCGCACTTCTTGCTCCCGTCTCCCTCTCGTGCATTCGGCTCACATCTTCAATTAGAGCGGTGACGCCGTCCGGCCGTCGCCGTCGGCATGCCCAATAACGCTGCACGTCATTCGTCCCCGAGATGACGACATCAGTGACGCCCATCATAACGTCATCCGGGCTTAGCACCCGTGATGTCACCTTTATGAACTGGTGTCGTTGAGCTTAAATTCACTATGCGTCCGCACTGTTAAACCAAGTAGTAATCCCCCTCAGCCTCCGATACCATATTTTTTCCACACTTTTATTTTCACACAGATACATTTCAACACGCAAGGCATGGTTCATCACAGTTCTGCAGCAAACGTCAGTTCTCATGTTCCGCCTAACAACGCGAACTCCAGCGACACACGCCGCCACGGCCAAACAACCACCACCGCCAGAAAGCATACGCCCTTTTCACGCTACCATTTTTCCCCACACAATGTCACGTCCTGTTGTTCCGTTCGTATAAAGTCCGTCTAGTCCGTTCGGTAAGCCAGATACCATATTGGTGATGATCGTATCACTGCCTGATGCTAATCCTTCTAACCTGGGCCGTGCCAACTAGAACCGCTGTACCAGCCACACCATCGATGCTATCCATGCTAACCGAGGTCGTGCTAACTGCTAAATGCTAATCAGACCCGCTGTGTTTACCTTGTCCCCCGCGACACCCTTGCTGACAACACCACCCATGTCGCCAGGTGAACTATGGCGTAGCGTCTGTGGCCATCACTCTGCTCGACATCAAGTTGCTGCGAACACAGAAGGACCGCACTGTGCGTCACCTGTTCTATCTGGGTGTGATGCTGTACGCGCTGGCGTTCGCACTGTGGAACCTCGACAATCACGGCTGCCAATCACTAGTGTGAGTTAGGGAGTGGGAAGGAAAGTGGGAGTGGAAAGAGTTGAGTTAGGTGAGTTTATGCGGTGGATCTGCTGGGATTTGGCCTTTGGATGCATGAACTTTTCAGGGTGTGAGTTGAGTTGGCTCAAAATTGCACAGTTGTCGGGTTGTTGCGGCGGTCGTAGTTATTTCAAGCGAAAAGCCGTGCTCCAAAAGCATTATCATTACTCCTGCTGCAAAATCATTACCAGCAACTCCTTGTCGCGTAACGCCCGCTTACAATGCAAATTGAGCTCATTTATCAATTATGAGCAGGTGCTTTTAGTGGACAAAGCCCGACCTGTGAAAGGCATAGCGGGCTCGCGCGATGGATCGATGTTGGCGCACACCCGGTCAGTCCGTTTTCCAGTCCTCGATTTATGGTTTAATGGACGTCAGTGTCAGCGCCGCTGTGGTTTGAGCCCATTCAGGCTCGCTCACCTCAGCTAAACAATGACACTGCGTCGGGTGAGGTCGGGGTGTGAACTGTTAATGCCCGGGCGGGGAGGTATGGTGGTATGGTGTATAAGGTATAAGGTATGGTGTATGGTGGTATGGCAGACTGATACACTGTTGTAGACTCTGACACACTTACAAACTGACACGCTGCAGCAGACTGACACTGTGGCAGACGGACACGCTGCAGCAGACTGACACGCTGCAGCAGACTGACACACTGGCAGACTGATACACTGCAGCAGACTGATACACTGTGACAGACTGATACACTGTGACAGACTGACAGACTGTGACAGACTAATACACTGTGGCAGACTGACACACTGTGGCAGACGGACGTGCTGTGGCAAACGGACACGCTGCAGCAGACTGACACACTGTGGCAGACTGACACACTGTGGCAGACGGACACGCTGCAGTAGACTGATACACTGTGGCAGGCTGATACACTGTGGCAGACGGACACGCTGCAGTAGACTGATACACTGTGACAGACTGTGGCGGGTTGACGTATTATGGTGGCCTGTCGGTGCCAACCGATGGATTGTGACCAATGTAATGGCTACAGTGTTGGAGCCACCGGCCGACATCCACGACGCTAGAGCTAAGCCACTTGTATGTCCAATAACCAGTAACAATGAACCATACCAAAAAATAGGCATGTATGGGATGGGGGTTCTGGGCTAAATCAACCAACTACAGTCGCATTATCTTTATTTGTGTCATAGATAACATAAGTCATGTTATCTTTGCTTGTATGTCAAGATATAGCTTTAAAAAGAAGCTCCTGAAATGAAAGGGATGTCTTAAAAACTGAGTAATTAGGTAGTAAGCAATGGTTCTCCCTCACCCGTAGTGGTCCACACAGAAATTATGCCCCTGTCTGATATCATCAGTCTTTTATCTCCTGATACTGTTGTCACGGCGTTAGCGACTGGTCTTACTCGTCCCGCTTCTTTCATTTGAAGCCGTTTTAGCTGATCGCGTCTTATTGTGGTATCGCCCGCCCAGACCCGCTCATACAAGGTGATTTGGCCTCCGGCGTGTCTGAAGCCCCTCTCGAGTGATTGGAACAACTGAGCCCGGCAGCTGTGGAAAGACTTAGTTGTCATGAGAACAAGCAAGATATTAGTCCTTTGTGAGGCTTTTAGCAAGATGGGCAACTGAATAGAAATGTTGAATCCATCGAACTGCACTTGCTTTAGCTGTTGGGCAAGTACTCGCTAAATGGCTTTTTATCGCATATTATGTGCCTCCGACACCTAGTTCCAAGTGACCTGTCATCCGGTTGTCAATTATCATCAGGGATAGTCTACCCGCCAATTATGTCCGGAGGCCTCAGAACCGCTGAGGAGCCTGGTGATGACTGGTGTAACTAACAGTTCCCTTTGTGGCCACCAGGCGTCTCCGCTCGACGCTGCCGCCGGTGCTGCGTCCCTTCACCCAGCTCCACGCGTGGTGGCACATCTTCGCCGGCTACGCCACTTATATCCACATATTGTACTGGTAAGTACCCAGTTCTGTTATCGCTGCATATAGTAACTAAGGCCTCCCGTGGCATATGGCAGTAGCGCTGAAGTCTCAGTAGGCTCCGTGCCGAAGCAGAAGTTGCATTATTAGCCAGAAAATCAGCGATTCATTGGTAGCGTGTCTTTGGTTAGTTTTAAGCTGTCTGAGCTGTCCACGGGTCGCTGCTAAGGTCGTTACCCTTTTGTATTTGGACGGCCGAGCTGGTATCTCGTTTGGCAGCGCTCCAGGCGCCCGGGCATTCGCACGTGATAAGACCTGGCACGGGTCCCCGGCCAGGGGGTTACGTCATCGGCTTCTGTCGATGCCAATTTTCCCGCCTGGGGGAGGGATACAGTGACCCTGGATGTGGACACGGGACAGCCGCTGGCATGGTAGTGGTATCATGTGGGTGAGCTGACCACAGCGCCACCTGTCCCCAGCGTCAAGGCGAGGTACAACATACTTCAGGAGAAAAGTCACATCACTCTGGGCGCGATGGGCTTCACGGTCCGACGACTGCCCACTCACGAGACGAATGGACACACCAATGGACATATCAATGGCCGTACCGACAACTGCAACAACCACAAGCACCTGGACTGACGGGCTACCGCAGCACTGCCTCTCGGCAGAGCCGTGAACCTGAGCTTCGCGGCTGACTAGTCGCGCGCGGCGCTGGCGGTCGAGCGAACCCCGTCGCCGGCGTGGTGAATGCTCGGCTTGAGTTGTTGCCTTCTCTGCCACTGGGTGTTCACGTGGCCTGTCGATATCTAGGCGGGTCTCCGTCCCAGGGGTGTCATGTGCGAGCTGCACACTCTACTGCCATCCCGTCATGAGACACCTCACCCTTCGCCTTCCCACACACACCCCAAGTGCCTCGGCGTTTTGTTTTATTACTTGATGCCCTGGTGCGTTTTATTGGGTGGCCCCATGTTATGCGCACAGAGGGCAGCTGATGTATATTTTTGTTGACGTCTATAATGTTTGATCCGACGTTGAAAAAAGTTGCTTTGTGGAGAAGCATATACATTTAGACATTGTTTTTGCCGCGTTTCATGTTCAAGACGGGAGACATTTCTTCATAACTGAGATTTATAAGACTGGCCTTAGTGACTTTTTTGGTAATTATCGACAGTATCCGTCGTCCGCATTGTAGGGCGATATGATGGCCTTCCGAAGAGGCAAGGCTCACGAGAAAAACTCCGTTATCCTGGTTATCCACATCTTCTATTAGTTCGTATCCATCAGTGTTATCGCATAAGCAACGCCTCGCGGCAAGTTCAATCCCAGGCCAAACACCTGATCTGTACATTCCGGAATCGATTGTATTTTCCGGTTCGGAGTTGGTCTCGCGCACAGGCAGTACAAGAATCGGTCTCAGTCGCACGCTGTCTTGATAAGGCGCCGCGCCCAAAGGGACGGCGGCGCTCTGTGAGGTGTAGCCGCGGACGGCGCCGACCTCCGCGACACGCGCACCGGCTGAGATTCATAAAACACACGGAGGGGCGTGGTCGAGGGGCGGGTCCGACGCTGGGGGCCGCCCATACCGGGGAGCAACGGCCAATGACGTGAAGATAACAACTGACACCATACATACACACACTCGCGCGCGCTCGGTCCTCTCACTCGTCTCACTCGGCCGACTTTCACCAGACTCGACAGCGCTGCGAGTCCGGTGGACTCATCGGCGAGCCGGGCCGGCAGCCGAAGTCGGCCGCAAACTCGGCCATGTTGGAGATGGGCCCGTTTATGCGAAACCGGTTGGGCACGTGCTCACTGTTGAGCGCCGTGTTGCGCAGGTGCTCGACGCGGTCTGCCGAGCACCACACGTTGGCGGCCACCAGCCAGAAGATCTGCTGCGGGCGGAGCGGCAGCGCGCGCGGCCGAGAGCCGGCCGCCCGGTGGTGGCGGCAGTCGGGTAGGCGCTGCGGCGGCGGGCCGCTGGCCGCCAGCCGGCGGTACGCCCGGTACGCCAGCCGCAGACCCCCGCTGTCGGCTATATTCTCGTCTTGAGTGACGACGCCGTTCAGCTGCAACGAGGAGCGACCGGCCGTGGGAGCTCACACAGACACACACTCATCACACGGATCACATGCATGCCGCTCTGATACAGCACAGGCATAAAATAGCACACCGGAGCAGTGTGCTCCAAATCTCGACCGAATCACAAGACCTTAAGTTACCCTTAGCGCTGAAAATAGAATACAAGTGCGTGCATGCGCGTGTACATGGCACGGTTAGGTGTCACAAAAACTAACAGCCAACGACTGGTGAGGCTACGACGCTTGATCCCGGAAAGACCGGGAGCGGCTGAGCGCCGCGCGACTCGGCCAGTCGGCCCCCAGCCCCAGAGGGGAGCCGTCCGAGGCCCGCCGGGCTCAGGCGCCCGGGAATACTAGACTCAGCACACACATGCGGACAGACGCACTGGCGCATTCAGGTAGCAAACAGAGGCCACGCACTATGGCGGGCCCATCAGCCTTTCATTCCAACACGTAACAGAGAGGCGGCAACGGCTGAGCGGCGGCGGGTGCGCCGCCGCCAGCCGAGCCGAAAAGGATAACAACGGGGTGCGCGTGCGGCGAGCGGCGCGGGCCGCCTACCACACTGAACACTTGTGCACCGGGTTCATGTTGGAGCCGGCCGGACAGTTCCAGTCGGCGGCAAACTGCGGCAGGTTGGAGAACGGAATGTTGATGCGCGCCCGCGACGGCGAGTGCGAGTCGGTCAGTATCCGGTTCTTGAGCGACTGTTTCTTGACCACCTGGCACCAGGTGTTGGCGGCCGTGAGCCAGAACATCTGCTGCGGGCTGTACTGGTGCAGGCCGGGCAGCGCCTGCTCGGGCCGGCCGCGCTCCTGCACCAGACGCCCGTAGGCGCGGCGCGCCTCCTTGAGACCGCCGTTGTCGGCGATGTTCTCTCCCTGGGTGATGATGCCGTTGATCTGCGGGGAGGCGCCACGCGCCGTCAGCGCGGCCAGCCAAGCGGGCACACACGGGCAGGGAGGGTAGGGCGCCGCAGGCAGCCTAGCCTACCTGCCAGCCACACACACACACTGGCCGGCAGCGCGCCCTACTGCGCATGCGGGCAACGAGCAAACTACCGGGTTGAGTAAGTAAGACTGGCAAACGGGTGGCGCAGCGGCGGGGAACACAGTGACGAGCGGTGAGAGCCCGCCGGTCCGTCTGCGAGCAGTTAGGGACAGATTGGCGGGGTGTCTGGCACATACGGCTCTCTATGGAGTTATATTAGCTGGCCACGCTGCTGCTGCGGCGGGCTGGGCCTACAGCGGGGTTCTGTTCGGTGTGACAGTGACAGCGGCTACCAGCGCACTTTCAACCATCAGAGTCAACTATTTGGACGCTTACTTATGAAGACTCATCCGGCAGACGGCTTATCTTCGTGCGTGGCTCTCTAACGCCAAAAATACGGAACAGCGTCATAAGAGCTCTATAAATGCACTGGTAGCCGCTAGCACTGACACCGAACAGTTCCAGGGTCTAGACAGCAGAAAGTTGGGAGGATGCGTACCTTCATGTCGATCTCCGGCACGGTGTAGTTACCGTACTGGTGGATCATGCACTCGGCTCCCTTCAGGAACCGCCGCTTCGTCTCTGGCTCCCACCAGTCGAGGAGCTCTCCGTTCTTGTCAAACTGACGGCCCTGCAAACACAGAAGATAGACGATCGTTATATAGCCGCAAAACGAACGTCTAAAATAATAAGTTGTATAAATATGCCCAGATGTAAAACGTCTCCCCAAGGCCACGTCCCTCAAGTAAATTCATGACTTTCTTCATTCAGGCATTGACAGCGGTGATAAAAAAAAATGGAGGCCGGAAACACATAAGACGGAAATTTACCAGATGGATACTGGACATGAAAAAAATCGTTATTGAAGTCTGGTCTCTTCAGGCTGCGTCCACCCGCCCACTAACCGTGTCGTCGAAACCATGGGTGATCTCGTGTCCGATGACGAACCCGATTCCTCCGTAGTTCATGTAGTTGGGCCGGTCAAAGTCGTAGAAGATACCCTGCAGGATACCGGCTGGGAACACTGGAAAGGAGACGGACGGGGGTGGTTAGAAACGGAACGAGTAGCTGACAAGTAGGTACGGACAGCAACGTTTGACTGCAGTTAAAAGGTAAAATGCAAGACTACATAAATTGCAAAATCCAACTCAAATCCACAAAGCATCCCGAACCAATCAAATATACCTCATTTTTTAATCATTTCCTGTAAGTTGTTCAAACGAGTGACCTAAGAAATAAATTAATTGATTAACTAACGAATGGTTACACCGTGAGTGCTCTGATTGTCACTACAGTCTTATCTCAATAGTTCACTTCAGCTTTAACGCAAAGGTTGAATGTGAAGTAACTATTGGGACTCATTAGAATTATGAACTCGTTTGCAGGAAACGAACTAGCAAAGACCCGAGCCCTCTGATACCACCCCTACAGGCGTCAGCCAACTCACTGATGCTGTTCTCGATGGGGCTGTAGTAGGCGTTGACGACAGCGGCTGAGCCGTGCGTGCGCCAGTCGTTCTTGTCGATGGGCTCGCGCAGCTTCTTGAAGGCGTAGTTGGTGCCGAACACGCTCATGTTGATGTTGTTCTCGAAGTAGTGGCTGTCGTCGATGAAGAGTCCGTCGTACAGCATGTCGAGCGCGGTGTTGTTGAGGATCTCCTCTGGGTAGGCGATGTGGTAGTTGATCGACTTGGACTTCTCCTTGGCACGCTCCCTGGTGGTGGACAGGGGAAGTTCTGGTTAGGTCGGGGTTCAAAGTGGGGACAGTGAGCGCACGAAAGAACGGCAGATGATGCCAAGTGGAAGGCCAGACCCTCGTTCAACCGTCAATTTTCATAATTCATTTTAGTTAATGCTTCAGATGTCATAGACGGCAATAGAAGGCAATAGTGCAATAAGGCACGGCTACAGACTACGAATGAAAACGGTTCAGTGCACATAACATAGGGCAGGGTGAATAAAGTCGCAGATATGTAAAACTCAGGCAAAATTCGAGCCTGCGCTCGCCCTCACTTGGTCTTGTTGTCCATCCATGTGATCTCTCCGAGCATAATGTTGAACTCCTGGTGGATGTGTTTCACCATGTCCAGGGCGGCCTGGCGAGCCGACCGGTCAAAGTGGTTTCGCACGTACAGAGAGCCCACGGCCAGACTCAGACTGCGGGCAGGAGACGCAGTGTTAGCCGTCGAAAATGCAGCGAAACTCTGGGTCATTTACAACTGGGAGGGTTGGGTAAGACCGACTGGAGATTAGCGGAGTTTGTCAGCGAACGATTCTGTCTTTAAATGTTAAATATAATGACATGTTTCACCCCCCCCCCCCCCAAGAAAAAGAAAGCTACTTCAATGAAACCACAGCCACAAGTAGTGAGCCTATGCAAAATAGCATTTACAAACAGTATATTGAACATGACATAACTTAAAAATAGGATACATAACACTTAAAATCGTTTGGCGACACGAGCATTATCATCACGTCCCGACATTGGCCTCCCTCCTGTGTTGCGTTGTTCCAGCGGCTTCTTACCTGCCCATGACGCCCTCGAGGCACTCCTTCCAGCGCGGCTTGCGCTGCGTCTGTCCGGTGAGCTTGGCCGAGAACTCGAGCTGAACATCGCGGGCCTCCTCGGTCAGCATACCGACGGAGCCGTACACGACGCGCCACAGCATGTAGTTGGCCTGCACCCTGTCACACGGAGATACAAACGGAGAGTAGTGTCAGACTGGGATCATACACACAGACATCAGGCGCTCACACAGAGGCGCATACCTATTTAATAGGTAATTACATGTAACAATAACCTGCTGTCATGATTTACGACTTATAGCGAAATAAGTTAAACTTTAAACTAAAAAACTTTCCGAAACTTTCCGAAACCAAACAGAAACACGGACAATCCTTTCCTCGAATGACTTTACCGAAATCCGTGGCAATAAGAATCACATATTGTTTACCTCTTGGGGGTCTCCTCGAGCAGTTTGGTGGCCTTCCGCATGTAGTCCGGCACGTCC